TCGAGCGAACCTATCCGGGACTCCAGCATCGCGTAAGCATCGCGTACGCTCTGCTCCTCCTCACTATATATAGCTGTTTACTTCTTTCCTTATTACTCACTTATCTAGCCTAGCTCTTAGCTCGCTTATATAATATAACTTATTGCTCTTTTTTGTTTATATATATAGTGCATATTTTTTATTTAATTCTTTTTCTTTGGACATCTAGTTAATTTATCTTTTTTTTTATTCTGTTACTTCTAATAAAGTAACCTTAGTACTTACGTAGCTCTCCTAATATATGTAATAATTATAAGCCTAGTAATTATTTTTAAAAATCAAGTTAATTAAGGTTATACTATATAAGCTCTTAAATTATTTTATTATTTATTTTTATCTTTTTAACCTTTCAATTAAATACCTTTTTCCTATATATTATCTTTACTTTTATCCTGAGTAATACATCTTTTAAAGGTCTTACTATTAATAGATATTGCATTATCAAAAAGTTACTTATTAATAATAACCTCCGTATTTTCAATGAGTATTTATGATAATTTGTTACTTTTTAAAAATTACGCTACGTAGTTTGATATTTAAAAGGATATTAATCTTAATATAAAGGAATATAAGCCTAGTTTTATAATACTTATATAGCTTAAGAAATTTATCACTTAAGAAGAGGAATAAGTTACGGAATAATATTAGGTAAACTTTTATAAATAAATTAAGAAAAATCTTTAGAAATTTAGCAATAACTTAAAGCCTATAAAGGAGTTTCTATGTTACTTTTTTAATAAAGAATATAAGTAATTATTTGAATAAAGTCGCTTTTAAAATTCGTATACTATTATTACTATAAAAGGTTACTAAGCTTTTTAGCATTAAATTATATTATTCATTTTTATAACTTACCTTATTTCGTTTATATATAATATAAAGCTTAGGATTACGATTAAATATTTAAAATATCGTAAGATTATTTTATAATTATATCGCTCTATCGTTGATATAATTTAAACGTTTCTTTATTAGAAATATTATAATGTTCTGTAAAAAGTAAAAGCAGTGACCCTTTACGGCGAGTAACTTTTTACTGCTTACAATTACGCTTATTTTTGAGTTTTTCGTTATAATAGTAACAAGATCCGCGGAATATTTAAAGAATTTTTCAAAGCGGTTAGAATTAAAATCGCTTTATATTAAGTTATTCATATTATAATTAGCCTTACTATAACGGATTAATCTAAATGATAATTCTTTATCCTTATAAAGTTGAAGACAATATTTAAAGTTTTCATTACATAAAATAAAAAGATAAGAAGAGCCTTTATATTTTAATTATATATTAAAGAATCACTTTAAAATAAAGACTTTAGATTAACAGTTTCAAAAATTTATAATAGAATAATTTTATTTATACATATTTATATAATCGCTTTTATAAGTAGTGTAGTGGTACGGTAAGATATGCCCTCTTAATATATTACATAATATGCTACGATAGGCCTTTTACCTATATAGAGTAACTATAGCTTCCGTAAGTACGGATTATATTATAATTTTTATTTGATTAAATTATTAACTTTTTTTTTAACCTTGATTTATAATTCGTTTTTATTAATAGATTTGTCCTTTTTTAGTTAGTATATTATTTTAGTTACGAACGCTTTAGTTTCTTTATCATACTGTAATAGCCGAATAAGTAACTTTTACGTTTAGTTTCTTTTCCTTTCATACCTCTTTTACCTTCGGGGTAACGATTATTATACCTTTATAACTAAGGGATAGACTTAAGATACGATAACTATATTATATTCCTTACCTTTTAATCAGTAAAGTAATATTAGTCTTATTTACCCTTAATTACTGTACGTATTATAGTTACCTATAATGTATACTTTTATTTAAGTTATACGAGACTCTAGTATTGCGTACGCTCTGCTCCTTCTCTGTAAAGTACGCCTTATAAGCCGTACTTATAATAGCTAGCCTTATTCTCCGTAAGTACTAAGGGGCTAATTACGTATTATGCCCTGGCACTAGCTAAGGCCCTACAATGGGTACAGCTAATTATAGAGGTTCTTTATTTTCATTAAAGATAAATAAATTATTAAAGTTAAAATTAGAAGATTTTTTATTATAAAGATTAATATTTATATTCTTAAGAATTATTTTAAAAATGAATTACGTAAACTTACGATTGACTTAATATTTAAAGACTTTATTTTTATTAAAGACTTTATATAAACATTATCCCTGAAATCAAGCTTTATATTATCAACGTTTAAAATTATAATTTAGGTTATTTTGTTCTCAATAGATTATTTAAAAATAGGTTTATTATAAGAAACTAAAAGTAACGCTATAATTTAATATTTGTCTAATTTAAATAATTCTTTATTTATTCGTAAGTTCTTTTAATAATACCGTTTAATACGCTTTAAATAATACTATGTAACACGGTATCGCTTATAGTTATTCTTACTTCTAAAGAGAGAAAAACTTAATAAAGAAAATCAAGAAATTAAACGAAACTAAGAAAAAACTCTAAGGAATTTTAACATCTCCGAAATAAATACCTAAGCTCAAAAGCGATTAAAGTATGTGTAAAGAATACTTCGAATATTAAAATTAATTATACATTTACGTTTAAATATAAATATTATAGGCTAACGATAAATAAGAAAGTAATTACGTACTAATTATCATTATATCACTTGTTACGCCCTTTCTAATGCACATATTAAAATTAATTCAGCTTTTCAGAAAGATATAATAATTTTGAATAGGTACTCACTATTAAAAATAGATATAATGAAATGCTTTTAATAAAAGTACTTAAAAATAAACAAGGTTATTTAATTACGAAAAGTATTTAAACTTTAAAAGATAAATACGATGATAATTCCTTCTAACGATTTATAAATTCTAATCCAATAATAAGCGAGTAATAATCTAAATTAGAGGGTTAACCAAATAAGGGATCTAAATTAAAAAAAAATGTATTAATTACAAGTTATTATGGGTTAATATTGAAAAGTTAATTGACGAGGATAAAGGAGCTAAGTAGTTTATTATTATAAAATTGATTAAAATAAGTATAAGACTTGGGTTCTGTTACGGTTTTAAGAGCTGTTCGCGAGGTAAAAGCTGTATATTAACGATTTAAAGCTAGACGAGGAGAAAAGGAGAAAAAAGTATACTCTGTAGGCCGCACTTGCAACAGCTAGCCTTATCTTCTGTAGGTACTGAGGGGCTGATCACGTGCTATGCCCTGGCACTAGCTAGGGCCCTACAATGGGCACAGCTCATAACAGGTTCTTAAGAAAAGTATAGCTTAAGTACGTGTAATGGGCTATGCCCATTATAGGGCCCTGGCTAGTGCCAGGGCATAGCACGTAATCAAGCCCTCAGTACCTACGGAGGATAAGGCCAGCTATCGTAAGTACGGCCCATAGGGCATACTTTCTTCCTTTTTCTCTCGTCTAGCTTTAGTTTATTAATATACAGCTTTTATCTAGCGAATAGCTCGTAAAACCGTAACAGTACGTAAAGGTTACGTATATTTAATTAATATAAACCTTAGTTATATATAAAATCTTTATTTATTTTATAAAGTATTTCATACTTAATTTATACTATATTTTTAATAATATATACTTAAGCTTATAAGGGAATTAATAAGAAACTTAAGGCTAGATTAATACTGTATTTATACATACGGATATCGTGCGTATCTTTTAATAGAAATATGTATTTAAAATCTTAATAGAAAAGGTTTATAAGTTAAGTTGAGAATTTACGTTAGTTATTTAATGAAATAATTTATAATTAACTTATATCATATATAGTTTCTTAAGTTAGAAAGAATAATATTAATTAGAAACGTTATTTTTAATAAAGAACTATTTTATAATTAATTTTAGAAGTTATAAAACGAGAAGTTTGCTAAAGAAAAGGTAATAGTAATTTATTTTATATGTTTAGTTATTAATAATATAATATATTTTATTATTAAAGCTTTAAATACTTTGAATTTATTAATAAGCTACTTTGAATAGTTGTTAAAATAGTTACTATAATTATTATATCACGTAGCTGGAGCTACGTACGCGGGAGCGCGCGTAGAGAGCTATCTTAGGAGTAATGGGAGGAGGAGCATAAGGTGAAAAGATCTTAGATCTATCTAAGAACGAGCTAAAGGAGTAGAAGCAACGGAGCATATATATAGGAGCTCCTGTTACTAAGGTAAGCAACGAAGAGGTACAACCTCTACGTGATATATTAACTTCTCTTCATTACTTTTACTACTTAAAGCTAATAGTAAAGTTAATAGTAAAAACTATAAAAATAACTTTTAAGTTATGATAATAATTTCTAATTTAAATATGCAGTGTTTTTTAATTAAGGTCTTTTAAATATATCAATTATAAAAACAATTAAGTAGGTCTCCTTTTAAATAAGGTTAAGGCTAGGTTGCTAGGTAGTTGCTATTAAAGAAGAATAGTATAGGTACGCTATAATAGAAACGTAAATAGAATAAGCTATAGCTATTGATAACTAGTTTAATGCTAATTAAACGAGACTATACTTATAAATAATTCTAATTAATTAATTAACCATCTGGAAGGTGTTTAGAAAATAAAAAGAAATATAGAAAAGTTAATACATATATATATATTAAAAAAATATTTTATTTATTATATAATGAAGACTAAATAAATAAGATTATATAATAAGAAATTAAAACTACTCTAAATACTAATTATAAAAGTTACGTAGCCTAGTCCTACCGTACTACTATAATATGTAAATTAAACTTATAATTAGAATATTATTATTTATTATACCCTATGATATAGAGTTTATATTTAAAATAATTATAATTATAATTATAATTATTTTTATTTAGTATAATATTACTTATACTTTTATTTTAGCATAGTATAAAGCTAATAATTTGAGACTAATTTAATATATTCATAAGCTTAAAGTTATTATTTGATTGTTACCTAATGATTAGAGGTCACTGTAAGCTGCTGTTTTCTAATAATGTAAACTCGGCCGGCATCGCGTCGCGTTATGACACGAATGTGACCTTTGATTCTTTCTCAAATAGCTCAACAATTCTTACTTTTCATTGTCGGTGCGCACTAAAGTTTTCATTTGCTCCATTTCAGCTGCCCCCAGGCCCCAATTCGCGCACCGTTTCAACAACCATTCCCTCCTTGTGAAGTCGAATCGGCGCCATGGATTCCATGGACCTCGACGTCGAAATGGATGTGGACGTGGACCTTGTTCCCGATGAGCCCATAGTTCTGGACCCGGAGCCTCAAGATACATGTGTATGTAGGATCACACCCTATTATTTACATTGAATGAAATCGTCTCCCATGCTGACTGTCATGCCGATAGGCCAACCGCTCCCCCGGGGAGATAGAAGAGCCTCTCGGTGACGAGGTCGCCCTCGTTCCGGGTAAGATCCATGTCAGAGGACTAGATGTCATGAATTCAGATGAGGTTAGCGCATATGTCGCGGAACATTTCTCAAATGAGCCTATCGAACGAATAGAATGGATAGATGATACTTCGGCCAACCTATTATTCAGCTCCCATGCAGCCGCGACACGCGCTCTTACTTCGCTAGCAGTAGAAGATATACGGGATATTCATCAACTCCCCCGGCGGAAGCTTATGCCTGCCAAATCTTTCTCCAAAAGGCCTGATGTCAGGTTACAGGTACGACTGACAGTCGGCAGCGATAAGAAGCAAGCGGGGGCTGCGTCGAGGAGCCGATTTTATCTTCTAAACCCCGAATTTGACCCGGAAGAGCGGCGGCGACGGGAGAGGAGATATCGCGAGCGGGACGGCAGTAAGGATTATGGCCACGCAAGGGCAAGGGACAGCTGGTACCCTGTGGTCGATGATCAATTCGATGTTAGCCTATATGACGACGATCAAGCCGCTCTGGCTGGCCGCAATTCACAACCACAGCCTCGTCGCCGGTCACCTCATGCACCAGATACTACGGACGGACATAGAGCGGAGAGAAATGTATACCGAGATGACAACCGCGGCAAGGAGCTGTTCCCCGATGGTCCGGGCGATAGAAGCAGATCTCGTCGGAACCGGTCCGCTTCTCCTGCTCGTGACCGGCAGAGTAACCGGAAGACAGATTACATTTCGAGTAGCGGGTCTTCATCTAGAAACCGCGATAGAGCGCACGCCATCAAAAGCCGTTCCTCCCAAAGTACCCGAGCCAGGCAGCTCTTTCCGGAGAAGTCTTCAGCCGGCACTGGGCACCTCAAGGATGACGTCAATGACGCCTTAACTTCGATAACCAAGGGGATGATGTTATCTTTAGATGAGACCAGCGCGGAACTAGGAGACCAAGATCGGAGGCCTGGGAACCGAATTACCATCCCGGGAAAAGACAGGATTGCGACTGAAGTTTTGGAAACAGACGCAGGTGATGCTACGGGCACGGTTTTCAGCATTCGTGGCACAGCTAGCCGGACAAACTCTCATCAAGGCTTCGCGATCAGGGGGAGTGCAGGTAAGTCGGCCAAAGAGCTATTCCCAGAGAAATTCGGTATCAATGCAGGGAAGGAACTTTTTTCAGATAGGCTGGAGGGTAAAAGGTCAAGGCCGCGGCAGAGGGCAAGAGACTTGTTTGATTAAGGCACGTAACAGCAGGAAGTGTCAGCGATTGGTTTAGTAGCTCGCGTGCAGATGAGCCTCTGCGTGCTAGGTTGTTTTACAAACGCTTGGGGACCGATTGGCCTGGGATAAAGACTGGTTGAGTAGCGAGAGGGCAACGCCAGAAAATAAACGAAGGTTGGCCTGGTTTCTTTAGAATTTCGTAACTGCTTCTATCTCTGAGGCTAGTATACTACACAGTCTACACGTTTACCTAGTAGACTAAAGGTAAGGTTACATAACTATACTTTTTTTATATAATTTTACTATGAGAATATATTCTCTTTTATAAAGACAAAAGCGCGTATTGTAGTAATATTTAAATATATTTATAAATAATCCTTTAATTACTATTATATTATTACATTAATTGGAAGAGCTACGTAGGTACTAAGGTTGCTTCTAAGAGTAACGGAATACATAAAGAAGAAGGTAAATTAATTAACTATTTAAAAAGAAAGCAAATAAATGGAAGAGATACGAGCTATCTATATGTAGATAATAAGGAGCTACGAGCTATGTTATATAACCGAGAGTTAAGTATGCGAGTAATTAGAGAAGAAGTAGGGAGCTATGTATAGGTAGCTCTTTACGTAATATATACTTTTAATATTTTCATAAACGCGCTATCGTGGTTACGTAGAGCTATAAAGATGAGCTCTTACTACTATAACCTAGATAACTTAAATAAACGGCTTAAGTTATAACGTACGAGACCTCTAAATAGTTATAATTTAATACTTTTTAAAATACTATAGTGGTACGGTGGATCTAGGCTACGTAGCCTTTTGAGTGTATATTTATATAAGTCTCGTACTTATATTTTCATTAGATAGACTTAGTATATCGGTATCTTTTTATAGTAATTAAAGGCATCATAGTATCTATCGGTTAAGGAGAAACCTCCCTAGGTACCGCAACTAGCTAGCAGAGATAAAATAAAGGTAATTAAAGCTATCAGTAAGCCTTTTATAATTAAAATAAACTAATCGGTAAACGAACGAATGCCTTTAAGTGTATGCGAGTATATAAAAGGGAGGGGAATGGTAATATAGTTAGATTAACTAATTAAAAACTACCATTTAGGTACTATTAAAAACGGAGGCAAAACTAAACAAAAACGAGTATAGCTCTTTTAAAAAAGATAACTAAGAAACGAGGATAAGATAGATCTCTTAATCGGCAAACGAGCTTTCAGGTAAGTTAATTACAAGCTAATAATAGGGCGTAGATTATTAAAATAGTTACTATAGTTATCTACCCTTTCTATTAATCCAGCCACCTGAAAATTTTGACTAAAAGCTACAAAAACGATTCTAGAGTTACAAGAATAGCTCCTAATTAATTAAAAGTTAAGGAATCTCTTAATCAGCGCATTCTAAACTTATTAACTATAAAAACGGTTGCAAAAAGTTACTCTTAAAATAAGGTAAGGTCAAGCTATTAAGTAGTCACTATTAAATATCAATAGTGTAGGTATGCTATAATAGAGGTACGAAAACGGCAACCTAATTATTAATAACTAGCCTAGTATCGATTAACTTAAATTACAGCTATATTTAGCTATAATCGGTTAACCGGCTAGCATAAACGGTAGTTAGGAAAAGGATTAAGAGAATAGGATGGCAAGAGGCTAAAAAAAACATGGTAAAAGGAGTGAATAAAGCTGTTAGGTCGTGATGCCTATAGGTCTAAGTCGAACTAATAAAAATATAAGTACGAGACCTATATAAATATATATCTAAAAGGCTACGTAGCCTAGTGCGGTGAGTATAGGCATAGGTTTATTTAATTTATATAAGGCTTCCAAGTCGTCGTTCAACCGTTTTAGCTTTATTGGGATTTTTGAATATAACTTCGATTTTTCATTTAAAGGCCTCGTATTCCGCAAAGATCTTTCTCGTTTTATTCCTTATATTGTTAAGGTTATTTCTGTAGGTTAAGAAATCTTTAATAATAAACGTGAATTAATCGTTAGCTTCATCCGTTAAGCTTTAGGTTATTATTAGCATTTATTAGTCAAGCTTTATAAAATAATTTTTATAGAAATATAAGAATTATTTTTCTTAAGTAAGAAATCATTTAGAGTTTTTATATTATCGTATTCTTCTAATTACTTTAGTATATATATGTTCTTTAAACATAGATAATATTATAAAACTATTGAGGAGGAGCAGAGCGTACGCGATACTAAAGACCCGGATAGGTTTACTCGAAAGTATACTTTATTAAAGGCTATAGCTCGTACGATGGTCCAAGATAAATAAAACTAATACCGCTATACCAATCGAGAAATAAGGAATCTAATGTAGTTATCGTATCTTAGCTATACCCCTTAGTCGTAGAGATATAATAGTCGCTAACCCGAAGGTATAAAAGGTAAAGGAAGAAAAGAGGCAAAGCATAAAAGTTACTTATTCGGTCATAGCGGTACGAGGAAGTAACTTAAGCGCCTATAATTAAAATAGATATACTAATCGGAAAACGACGAATCTAATAATAAAAACGAATCTTTAATTAAGGTAAAAATAGTAAAGATAGTAATCTAGTTAAGTAGTAAATTCGATAATAAGCATAGCATAACCCGTACTTACGGGAGCTATAGTTACTCTATATAGGTATAAGGCCTATCGTAGCGTGTTACGTAATGCATTAAGAGGGCATGTCTTACCGTACTACTATATTATTACCTCTTATTATTAGCTCGGTAAGTATTAGATTTCTTAATGTAAATATTTCGCTGGCGTTATCGTTTGTATTTAGTTTTTTTAATGTCCGGGTTAACTCGGTTCCTTCTCTTTTAAAATTCTTTTTTCGTTTTAGACTTCTCAGGTCGTTCTCGGGTAATCCTTCTTCTTTAAGGGAAATTAAATCGCTCTAAATGTCCGCGTTTTTCGAAGGTTTAGGTTATCTAACGCTAGGTAAAGGATTACTATCTAATTACTCGTTTTCTAAAAGAATATTACTTATTTTCTCTTATTTAATTTTAAAATTAAAGAGTTATTATAGTATTATAACTTACCTATACTTATTAATAATACGAAATAGCTATACTATAGTAGTACGGTAAGATATACCCTCTTGATACATTACGTAACACGCTACGATAGGCCTTATACCTATATAGAGTAACTATAGCTCCCGTAAGTACGGACTATACTACGATTATTACCTAACTAAATTATTAACTTTATTATTTTTACCTTAATTTATGATTTATTTTTATTATTAGATTTATCGTCTTCCGATTAATATATCTATTTTAATTACAAGCGCTTAAGTTACTTCGTCGCACTGTAATAGCTAAATAAGTAACTTTTACGTTTAGTTTCTTTCCTCCTCTTACCTCTTTTATCTTCGAGCTAGCGATTACTATATCTCTATAACCGAGAGGTATACTTAAGATATCATAACTATATTAAATTCCTTGTCTCTCGATTTATAAAGTAATATTAATTTTATTTATCTTAGACTATCGTACGTACTATAGTTACTGATAAAGTATACTTTTGAGCAAGTTATCCAGGACTCTAACATCGCGTACGCTCTGCTCCTTCTTAATAAGTATTTTAATATATTAAAGAATTAAGGTTATAATTATATATGTAATATTTTACTTACTTTTTAATACTTCAGTTTAGGATAGTTCTTAAGAGTAAATTATATATTTAAATTAATATTTAAATAGCTAAGGCAATACTTATAAATAAAGGAAATATTTTTAATTTTATATAATTATTTATAACTAGATTAATAAGGTCCTCCTTTAAATGAGCGTTTCTTTTTTTATTTTTCATCTATTACTTTAATAAGCGCCCGTCGCCTGAGTAGGCTCCCGTTACTTTAGTAAGCTCCCGTTGTCTTAGTAAGCGCTCGTCGCCCTACCCGAATAACGGCGCCTGCGTAATAAGAATCGGATAAATAATATTCCCGTAACAGGTACCTTAGTATCGTTCTATTTCGTATCTTCTAATTAATACCTATTAGTACTCTTTCCGACCGTAGTTTCTAACATTATATAAGCGCGTAAGCGCAGTTACGTATAGTTATAAAAATAAGTATTTGCTACTATAGCTAAGATAGTTTAAATAAGCAGCTTTAATATTGATCTATAAAAACTCTAAATAGCTATAATTTAACAGCAATTAAGCTACGTTTCCCGAAACCGCTAACCTTATACGACTTATATCTTTTCTCTTTTCTTTTTTTATACAATGATAATGTCCTATATCGTTGTGTATATTTGAAAATGTATATTAACGTTTGCCGTCTAGCCTATCTCCGCTGTTTCCTCTGTCTTCTCTACCTTTCATCACTCCGTCCCCTGGGCAGAAGTGCAGATAGAAAAGGTCGCGTAATTAGGCCACGGAACCTACTACAACACCACACCGTCATTTCTTTTAGCCAAGCTTTCCATTCGTGCGCTCCGTCGGTAAGAAAAGGAAGTTGGCGGTAAGGCAAAATTCGAAATGGAAGAAGGCAAGGCCAGGTGTATGTGGCCTTGTATCATGGTGCTCTCTATGGTATATCCGAAACGTCAAATCTAAACCGTCTCTACTCCTCGTCTACGGTGTTCCATGGCCGCTTGAATGCAACTTGTCCGTGGTAACTTATGCCGAGTGTTGTCGCTCCCTTCAGGCGCCAAAGCCGCATTCAAGCTAGGAGTTCGCGACATCTCAGACGCCGCCCGTTTCAAGGATGGTAAAGGGGGTACGATCTCACCCGCCGACCGCCGATCTTCTACGTCGCCATTGTCGTCTTCGAAATTATCGCTGGGGTCCAGTAACGGATCGTAGGCCCAGCTCTCTTCAAGGCCTTCGAGGTGGCAGGGTGACCGTCTCAAAAAATGCCACGAGAACGTATCCGAGAACATGGCGATGTATAAAGATTCTATTTTTCCACTTGGGCAGCAAACTGCACAGTACTTTCGCAGGAACTCCAGGTCGTAGTTCCCGTTGATCAAGCTTGGATCTAAGGGCCGGAGCATCGGAAGACCTTGCAGCGTCACCGCGTCACACAGTCGGGCCTGCAACGGGACCCAATCCCGGCCACGAAGGAGACTACCGAAAGCCTTAGATATGGCGGTGGCAAAGGACTGACCATCTGTCCCTCCAACGGCTATCATCTGATGTAGGCCGCGTGACAGGCACCGTTTGTAAGCATTCGTATCTTTCTCGAACGGGAACGGCTGCGATGCTGTGGGAAGGAGAGAGACGTGTACCGTCCATGATCCCGTCACTTCGACCTGATCACCCTCGAAAGATCCCCAGCGAGATTCCGAGACCAGACTGCGCGGAGATCGCGCTGTAGTGCCACAGTTGTGCTTGCTCGGTTGGCTGCTTCGCTGTTCTACAGTCTGCTTGCGGTTTCTCGACTCCTCCGAGTCCGATGTTGATCTCCGCCTGCGTCTACGGAAGGGGATACCGGGATTATTCTGTTCTTCCAAAGCATCTACTCGCTCTTCCAGTACCATGGATGCCTCGTCAAACTCCATGAGTCTGTCGCTGAACCCCTGGAGGGAATCGTCGTGGCCATCCAAGCGTTCGTCAAAGGCAAGAAAACGGCTTTCGTACTCAGCCTGCTGCTTCTCGAGTTGGGCAACAGATTGCCACATGCGGTCGACGTTCCTATAACAGTCCTTCACCTCTTGAGTTGTCTCGTCCTTGTTCCTTTCAACTTGCTCCTCCAGATCCCCCAAACGTCGAACCACACTACCTAGAGCGCTACCAAGCCCCCCGTCGTTCTCTCGATCTAGCTGCTCTTCGAGAAATCGGATACGTCGTCTCAGTATGTCAACTTCGTTCTTATCCAGAGGCGGCTCAGCAGATCGAATGTGGTAGCACGAGAGGTGGCCACAGTCACAGGTGACGCCAGGGACCGATCGGTTGATGGTGAAGCCGACGCATGCACAGCGCTGTCCCTTGATCTCGGGGTTCAATAGGATATATCGACATTGGCCGCTAGGAAGCCCGTTTTCATCAACTTGTTGCTGAGATGCCACGGGGTCGCCCCGCGGGGACTGGGAAGGGGCCATTTAAGTATGACTACGCGCCACGCGAGTTGTGGAGAAAATAGATCCCGGCACGCGGCCTCGCCCGGAGGCCACACAGACGCAGAAGCCGAAGAGTACGATGTGTCCAAACAGTGGCTGGGGAAAGGAGGGAAAGAGTGTGCAAGAAGGAGAAGAAAAAAACAGAAAAAAAACAGTCGACGGGGAGGAAAGTATCGGGGGCAATGCGCAAAATAAAGGTGGTCAGACTGGGTTACTCGGTCCGCGGATTGGCTAGAGAGGCATCCATAGATCCAGTCCTAGTTCAAGACGGATCCAGGCACGTTCGCTCACGGTCGTGGGGGGAGGCCACTGCGATTCTGTGTCGAGGAAACGATAAGGCGGAAGGCCACGGACCGTTATCAAGCCGTTCGCGGTGCTGGGCGCGCAGAGACGGCCGCCACCCAGACAAGGGCCGGGGTGGATACGCAAAGTGAGGGCAGATAGCAGGTGAAAGGTAGGTATGTATTGGATCCGTCCGGGTGGGGAGGATAGAAGGACGTGCCTAGCGGAGACGGGACAAGGTGACACGGGGAAGAGAACAGAGCGAGTACTTAAACTGGCGAATGTAGATAGGTGATGGGGGGGGGAAGGGAGGGGCGGCCCTCGCTGTAGATAAACCGATAGGCTAGAAAGGGTCGAGCTATCAGATCCCGGGCCAGGGTTGCGAGGATCCAGCACGGGATTTTTTCTCTCCTCTTCCTTACCATGGGATGACGCGAGATCGCGACTTCAGAGCTACCTGTGGCGATTGTGATCTAGCTAACGCTGGCCAAGGCGAACCGAGCAGGCCCGAATCGAGAGTTGACGAGTCTGTCGGGATGGCCAAGGAATCTTGAGAGAACTCTCTATAGGTATGTCCGCCCGTCCCTCGCTCTCGCTCTCGCTCTGACTCCCGCTATCCCTCGCCCTCTCGAGCGAGAGGAGGGAGGAGAGGGAGGGGAGAGGGGAGGGGGGGGGGGGAAGCCGGGGTGTGACGAGATACCCACCACCCCAACACGGCGGCGGACCGAAGGAGGGAGCCCAAGAATTTGACATGTGTCGCAAAATAGTCGGCAGGGCGCTGGCGTGCCACGACGACACGGCATACAACCCTAATTAGAACTGGCAGCGATGGCGACCTTGGTGGGAAGGCCGATGGCGGCGATCTGGGTACAGACGAGCGGCAAATGCCATACGAATGTGCCGCAGGGGAGATCCGACTCGATTCCCCCAGAAGCGTCGCAACGCGGGAAAGGGGAAAAGAGACAGATAGACAGAAGAGAAGTCGACTGACATTTGACCGTGTGTGGGGGTGATTCTGGGCGAGTGGGGGGAGGGAGCGGGCGGACGGGCGATAAAGAGAGGGACTTGGGACATTCGACCCATCCGAGGATCGCATTGGCCCGGCTGTTCCCATCGCGAATGCTACCCCGCCCTCCTCCGTCACTCTCTGTGCCCGACCAGGCCTCGTGAGGTACCTTCGCACAGCTGTAACCTGGCCGCGTGCCGCGACACGACGGCGAGCTGAGGTATCACCACGCAGCCGCTACAGCTATCCCATCCTACGTACTTTGACGGCATGGGGGGGTGGAATTGCGTAAGAGAGAGAGAGGTTTGTGCAGGGCTGGCTTAGATCAATACGGATTAGCGTATACGATCCCGGAGCGTTCTGTTAATTGATGTAGGTATTCTGAGCTAACTGAGAACGACGATTATATTTACCCAGACTTGAACATATTTATCCCTATCCGAAGGATAGTTATAATACGTCAAACCCCTTGTCATACTGATTAATTTACAGGGGTAATTTCCTCATAAAAATACCTCTGAAAATACTCTATGTAAATGCCCTTATAAATAACCTTGTAAATATAGTTATTTAATGAATATTTTATTTTTATTAGTTAAAAGCTCGTACGGCCCGCTTAGAGAGGATATATCTAATAAAATTGCAGCATATGCGACGGGATCTATGTATCATTATTTACCTATTAACACGTCGATTTCGTACCTTTTTTAATCCTATTCATATATTAATTAATTAATCAAAGTTAGTTTCTTCCCGTTTAATCTAGGTTGGTTTCTCTATATTCAAAAGTCGATTATTAATCTATTTTCGTAGTTTAATCCTATTTGTATAAAAATTAATTAAGGTTAGTTTCTCTACATTTTATTCAGGTTACTTTCTCCCTATTTAATCTAGGTTACTTTCTTTTTGTTTAATTAAGAATCGATTATTAATTAATTCCTTTTCGTACTTTAAATGTCGATTCCTACTTATTCCTTTTTCCATAGCCTTTAGAGAGGTTCTAGATTTTCAGTACGAAAGTTTAGAGAAGCAAGGAATGCTTTAACGTATTTTAATAAATATATCTTTACGCTATATATACCATATGTTACAAGGTAACGAGCTAACCCTCACTGGGCCACCCTGCTCTTACTAAAAAACAGCAAAGGTTACTACTTTTAACCACTTGTAACTATATTAATATACGTTCTTAAAAGTTATAAATTATATTACTTGAATTACCTTTTCGAGCTCTTTAAATAAGTATAAATTTCTTTAAGTAAAGATACCTATATTAAATAAACTATTATTATTATATTACGTAGGCACTCTTTCCTAGTAGCAACCACCTAACTTACCTAAGCTGGTTAAGTACTTCTATATTAAACAGGAGCAGCGTAGGCACGCTAACGGAGGCACGAAATAAGGACTACCTAACTGCTAACAACTGGCCTAGTACCGATCAACCAAGATCATAGCTATAAATAGCTATAATCGGTTAATCGGCTAGCTAAAAACGGCAGCTAGGAAAGAAAAAAGGAGAGAAGAGAGGAGATTAGAAAAGGATAACGAGGATGGCTAGAAAGGCATAGCAAGAAACGAATAAATAGCTATAGGTCCTAATATCTATAGATCTAAGTCTGACTAATGAAAATATGAATGCGCGACCTATATAAATAGATATCGAAAAGGCTACGTGGCCTAGATCTACCGTACCACTATAGCCTTCCTAGTTTAATTAATCCGTAAGGAGTAATTAAACTCCCTATATAATAATAGGTGCAGTGGCTCTCGTTTCCTGTTGATCCTAATTAACCTGATCCCGATTAACCCTGATTAACTAAAAGCTAATTAGTTTAATTAAAGGCTAATAGGATAAGTTAGGAAGAAATAGGTCTTTAACTAGGAGCGATTATAATAGTAATAAATGAGTAGTAGGGTAGGTAACTAACTGTAGCCGTGCCTGATCCTAAACCTAATTCCTAATTAATCCCGAACCTGTTTAATCGCTACTAATTAGGAGCTAAGCTAGTTTAATTAACGATTAATAGGAAATAATAAGAAAGATCTAATAACAAGAATAACTAGGCTAGCGGAGCTATAACCTATAAGCTGATCTAATTAACCTATTCCTAATTAACCTTAATTAACTAGGAGCGAGCTAGGTCTATTAAGGCCATTAAGGAATAATAGAGATCAATAGTTAGGAAATAGGAACTATAACGGGTAGGTAAAATAAGCGTAACTCCCGTAATAAACGAAAGAAATAATCCCATACGATGTAACGTAATCCCGTCCTTTTCGTTCATGACTAGCTTTGCCGATCCTTTTAACTAATCCTAATCCTATAAACTAATTAATATATCTTATTTATGCCCGTTCCTAACTCGTTTCTAGCTATTATTCGTCCGGTAATATCTACCGGGCTTTCCTTAACCCTCGATCCCTCCCTTATACGTAGTTCTAGGGGCTCTAGCTCTTCCTATTGACCATATATCGGTAAGGGCGACAAGAGGGATTTCCGGGCATTATTATAACTATTTCCGACTATAACTTATAACTCTTTTTTCTAGGCTTTCTTATTTAATATTATATCTATCTCGTATCGCGGTATCATCTGTATGGGTCTTTTAGGTTAATCGGTAGGTTCCCCGATTAGGTTCGTAGGTATAAGGTATATCGGTTATTTTCTTGGTAATTAAGGGCATCGTAGTACCTATCGGTTAGGGAAAAACCTCCCTAGGTGCCGTAACTAGCTGCTAGGGATAAAACAAAGGCGATCAGAGCTATCGGTAAGCCTCTTATAATTAAAATAAACTGATCGGAAAGGACTAACTGCCTTTAAGCGCATGCGAGTATGTAAAAAGGGGTAGTAGCGGTAACGGAGTTAGATTAATTAAGAGAAAAACTGCCATTTAAGTACCGGTAAAAAAACGAAGACGAAACTGGGTAAAACGGGCATTGCTTCTTTAAAAGAGACAACTAAGAAACGAGGATAAAATAGATCCATTAATCGGCGAACGAGCTTTTAGGTAAGCTAATTAAAAGCTAATGGGAGGGCGTGGTTATTAATAGTCGTTATAGTTATCTATCCTCCCGTTAATCCTAACCTAAAAAGCTAAGGCTAAAAGCCACGAAAACGGCTCTGGAGCTACGAAAATAGCTCTTAATTAACTAAAGATTAGGGAATCTCCTAATCGTCGTATTCTAAACCTAATAACTGTAAAAAAACGGTCGTAAAAGGTCACTCCTCAGATAAGGTAAGGTCGAGCTACTAGGTGGTCGCTACTAAACAGGAGCAGCGTAGGTACGCTAACGGAGGTACGAAACAAGGACTACCTAACTACTAATAACTAGCCTAGTACCGATTAACCAAAATCACAGCTATAAATAGCTATAATCGGTTAATCGGCTAGCTAAAAACGGCAGCTGAGAAAGGAAAAAGAAGAGAAGAGAGGAGACTAGAAAAGGGTAACGAGGATAGCTAGAAAGGCATGGCAAG